AGGAAACACAGATTTAAAGCCTCAAATCTCTAGACATTATTCTAGGGGCCCCCCTAAATAATGCCAGAAAGCTGCTTGCTGGACTACCCCTTTGCTTGCATGTAAAGGAATAGAGGGTGAGTAAAGCAAATCAAAAGGCAAAGAACAGGAATAAAGATTTAAAGCCTCAAACCCCTAGACATTATTCTAGGGGCCCCCTAAATAATGTCACACTAGTCTAGAAAGCTATTGTACTTATACAGCAGCACCTCCTTACAGCAGCACCTCCTTACTTAGTAATGGAAAGCCTTGAAGAAAAAGAATAGAAGTCTCCATCCAAAAGCCTCCAAACCCATCAAATCTCAATGGAAATCTCCAAATTGTAATGGAAATCTCCATCCAAAAGCCTCCAAAAGCATCAAATCTCAATACCCAAAAGCCTCCAAAAGCATCAAATCTCAATGGAAATCTCAAAATTTTGAATAGAAATCTCCATCCAAAAGCCTCCAAAAGCATCAAATCTCAATGGAAGTCTCCAATTTTTGAATAGAAATCTCCATCCAAAAGCATCAAATCTCAATGGAAATCTGTCTCCATCCAAAAGCCTCCAAAAGCATCAAATCTCAATGGAAATCTCCAATTTTGAATAGAAATCTCCATCCAAAAGCCTCCAAAAGCATCAAATCTCAATGGAAATCTCAAAATTTTGAATAGAAATCTCCATCCCAAAGCCTCCAAAAGCATCAAATCTCAATGGAAATCTCCAATTTTTGAATAGATATCTCCATCCAAAAGCCTGTAAGATAAGCAAATCCCAGAAAACTCAAAAGGGAAAAAGTAAACTACAACAATAAAAAATATTCAACTACAACTATCCCTGCCCAAAAAAAAGACATTATTCTGGGGGCCTTTATTAATCTGTGCAGGAAAAAAAAGACACTATTCTAGGGGGTTTATTAATCATAGGACTACATTACCTGTGTTTGGAATGCCAGCAATGACCGAAGCCTCACAAGTAGGTCAAGTTAAGAAGAAGAGAAGTAGAGGTAAGAAGAGACCACCTAAGTTCAACCGTTGCATGTTCGAGTTTGCGTGTGCCCCTGATTCTCAGACGCATAAGACATTTCTAGAGTTGGGAATCCCACATGTACCCCTAAGCAAGGAACACCTCGACCTGACGAACGCCGACATGCAGGACCAACTCCATAACCATTTGGAGACTTGTGAGGAGGTGCCAGACCTGCGTCAATACCCTGTACCTCAGGTTCCCCATGGCAAAGGGTCAACAGGTCCAAAGGAGGTGCACGATTTGCCCGTGTTCACGCACAGCAGGTTCGTGAATCCAAGCGCCTTTTCGCAGAGTTCGAAAGAAGCGCAGGGATCGTCCTTAGCAGGGGGGGCACTGTGACCTTTGAATGGCCAAAGGGCTGCGAGAGTTGGAATCGCCATGACGTCCAGTCGTTCTTCGATTCGCATCCAGAATTCCAAAAGGTCGAGTTTGATGGTTGCACGGTGGGAGTTAGATCCACTAAGGATAGACCCATTAAGAAGACATGGAGACTCATGACGACAAGCCAGCGCATCGTAGATGCTTTTTCGCAGCACAATATGAACATGATCACGCGGTTGGGTCTCAGACTGCAAAGACCGCCTTTTACCCTCCACAAATGGTAGGCGAAATAGCCAGAGCTTTGTACCCCCAAAGGGCTAATCTAGCTCCAGCCCCAGCCATGCCATGTGTAGTCCCAGCCGCTGCCTCCCAGGCGCGGGAAGAGGAGCGTAGGGTGAAAGAGCAATCCTTGAAACACATCTCCGCACTTGCAGGAGCCGATACATTTGCATTGGCCGTCGAAACCGACGAAGTTGCAAACCAGATGGCAGAATGCCTGATGGATTTGGAAACTCTCGTTCGAACTGCATTCGATATTCCTGAAGATCCTGAACATCACGGTAGGGTACATGCCATGGTAACTAAGTTGCTCTCTAGAGCAGAGATGTTAGCGAACCCTAAAGCCGTTGAGAAAGTAAAGGAAGAAGCAACATCCCTTACCGACATCGGCACATGGGATCTTGATTCGGTTCAAGAATATGATGCAGTCAAGGCTGAAGCAAAAGCTAGCAAAGTGTCCGTACACTTTGGCCGTCTAATGACTATCGCCTCAGTTAAATTTTGGGAATTGGCAGAACACCTTCACAAAATGAAGGGGCGAATAGTATATCGCGGCGACTGTGCACGCGACGAGAATGGCGTCGCCGCCGTCTACGAGGAGTTGGGCGCGAACCCAACCTCCGTACAGGGATTAAACGCCTGTCTAGCCTACGGCTCCTTGCCGGGACATGCCTGCACGGCGGCAGACGCCGTGAAGGCTTATGTTCAAGCCTTTCTCAAGAGTAAGTACAAAACGTGGATCGAACTTCCACCTGAACTCCGCCCGGAGTGGTGGAAGGGAAAATTCACCCGTCCAGTTGTACTTCTAGTGAGGGCACTATATGGACATCCCGATGCAGGCGGAATGTGGGAAAACCACTTAAAAGGGATTTTAAAGAAAATGGACGGTGAGGAGATTCCTGAATACCCCGGAAATTTTTATTTCAAAGGGACAGGTCTCATGTTATCTACGTATGTAGACGATTTGACATTATCCGGGCCAACAGAGCACCATGCTCCTTTCTGGAAACAACTAATGTCAGAAGTGAACGTAGAACCTCCCGAAACCATTTATAGAATCCTCGGAAGAAACCATGTTTATGCCAGTTTCGACAAAGTACAGGGTGAGGAGAACGCTGCTTTAGGCGCGGCTCCCGATGCATTGATTTTCGACATGAAGGACTACGCCCAACAGACCATAGACCTTTATAAAAGCGTAGCAAGAGTCGATAAAATCAAACCTGCACAAACACCCTTTATCCCTGACGGAACATGGCCAAAGGAGGACGAGGACTCTCCTGGAGAACTCGCCCCAAAAGCATGTTCAATACTAATGAAGGCCCTTTGGTTGGCCCGCCTTTCTAGACCCGACATCCTTAAGCCTATTAACGACTTAGCAACTAAGGTCCAAGCCTGGACCAGGGTACACGATAAGAAGTTATTAAGGCTAATCCAATACCTCCAATATTCGCTAGACTATAGACTAACCGCATCTTGCCAAGATGATCCTAGGGATCTCAGGCTTGAACTATATGTCGACGCAGACTTTGGAGGCGATGCCGGTGACGTTAAGTCAACCTCGGGCGGGTTCCTCGTACTAAAAGGTCCAACCACATTTTTCCCACTTGCATGGATCTCGAAAAGACAGACATCCACTTCACGCTCCACCACGGAGTCAGAAGTGGTGAGCTTGGCACACTCTTTGTACCAGGAGGGTATCCCTGCTCTCCAACTCTGGGAGAAACTCTTGCAGAGGCCGGTGGACTTAGTTATCCACGAGGACAACCAAGCCACCATCATAGTCGTTCGTAAGGGGTATTCCCCTAAACTTCGACATATCGGCCGCACACACAAGATAAACCTCTCATCCTTGAAAGAGTGTCTCGATGACCCATGCATCAATGTGCAATACATCGACACCAACGAACAGGCCGCCGACATCTTTACGAAAGCGCTGCCACCACAGAAGTGGTGTAAAGCTTTATGCCTTCTTGGCATACGTACGGATATTCGCGAGCCGAAGCCTTCCCTTAGGGACCGAAGCTTTTCGATAGGTGCCGACGTAGGTGCAAAAGCCGCTGCTTAATGCGCGGTAATTAATACCTGTACATACAACCCATGGCACGCCAAATCGGCGAGGGGGGAGTCGAAATTTAAGAACCAGGATTAACCCCTAACTTGTCATGCGGTTTTGTATGAACAGTCATGTTTAGCTAGGTCGGTAGAAACCTTTACACGTTTCACACCGACCGTGCGTTTGGCTCAAGAAAACGGGCGTTCCGCTTGTTTTCAGCGTCCGTCACGTCGCTCGCGTTCGCTCGCCCGTGCCGGTGCATTTCGCTTTCGCGCAATTCGTGTTGTGTGTTCTTAGGCTGCCGTAGGTGCTCCTTCGTACACACCCCACACCTGGTACACAACGGGGACCCGACCTTCCGGGGCTCGCCGCCGCGTTTTCCTCAGGGTTCTCCGCACTATAGGTTACCTCTCATCCCATTTGCCCCTTAGGCAACTGTGGTGGCTGTTCCCTGTGGATATCCCTGAACCCTTGTCACTTTCATTATAATACTTTAATATGATGGATGACATAAACAATGTGTTCGAACTATGTAATAGGGCTGGAAATGGTATACTCACGAAACCTTTATAGTATACTTGCCAAAGATCCCATATTATCCGACTAGGAAACGCCTTTTGACCTTTTGACAGTCACATCCTATGAAGTGTTCTTCCTTCTTTCTTCCTTTTAAGGCGAGAACCCTGTGAAATTTCGCACAAAGACGTCAAGCACCAGAGACAAAGCTGAAGCTTGGCAGTGCAAGCAGGTTCCAAGCAGGCAGCGCGCATGGAGTTCTGAACTATACACGTTTGTTGTTTGTTGACCGAGTTGCACCATGATCTACAGTCAGTCCGATAGTCGACAGAAGTTTTGTACGCGTCACAATTGATTGAATGATTGGTTGATTGATTGATTGAGTGAGTGAGTGAGTGAGTGAGTTTCAGGGCTTATTAAAGAATACGTGGTCCTGCTACCAACGCACATCCCAGCGGTCAATCCGTTTTGGATTCGATTAGACAATTTGACATGGAAATTCATCGCAGCAGCGCGGGTCACTAAACGAAGTGACAGACCACCTTAGCCAGAGCCTAAGCCTCTAAAGACAACTGCAAAGGATTCCAAAGCAAAGAACGATAAAGAACGCGCTTGAAACGGAAAGCGTGCAATTATCACCAGGAAATTATTGAAACAAGTGGACGAAATGAAACGAAGGAAAAAGGTCTGGAAACGGCACTGATTCTCAAACTTTCATGAGGACTTGAAGCGAAAGAAGGCACTTGAAACAGAACGCACGCTATTGAAGCGCAAGGAAAGGACTGAAACGAAAACAAGGTTGAAACGATAAGAGAGGGAAGGTTTTTCCACGGAAGTCAGGTTCTGAAACGATAAAATGTGTCTGAAGGAAAAATCACTTGAAATGAACCGCGCGTGGTTGAAACGCCAGGAACGTCTTGAAACACAAGGAAGTAAGTTGTGATACGAAGAAGTCGAAGCGACGGGAAGGTCTTGCAACGGAACAGAGGTTCTGACACGAGAATCAGGATTGACAGAGCCTTCAGACGCCAGGAAACTTAGAGATATCAGGCGTTTTGCAGACAGTAACTAGGGCTCCAGACGCTGAAACTCTAAAAGCGTGAAGAGGCTTAGAGGAGAAAGGAGGCTTAGGCGTGAATGAGCTTGGTGGTATGAAGTCATGAGGCATCAAGGGTTGAGAGGCCTGCGAGCGCTAAATACTGACAATGAGACTATCCCCACCACTTCCACCTTGTACGCCCTTTCTCCTGTGCCATCGGCTTCTAAGCATTTTTAGCCAGTGCGCCACCTTTGAGCTTATGGGCTTAGAGAGGCGGTCGCAACAGGTTGGAGCTAAGAGGTGTTTGGTGGTACCCTCGCTTCCGCTGCGGAAATTCTAAGAACATTTTGTTCCGTAGAGCGGCCGCATGAATTTTCAGGCCTGGTGATCAAGTAGTTGCATGTTGACCATGGCTTTTGACAGTCCTCGCAGGCCAATACAATGGCTGTGTAGTATGTGTAATGTTTTAGATGGTTGTTGCTTAACGTTCTTAAGCCCTTTTTGCATGTGCAGACTCTCCACAAATTAGTGTGAGAAAATGCAACTCTTTGTGTTCATGCATGAGGCAAATCCACACTTAGAGGCAAATTGCGTGCTGACTTCGCCAAGGTGTGGAACCAGGCCTCCAAACTTCAGATTGGTCATGGGGACTTCCTGACATTTAGAGTTCAAGACAAGGACAGCTTTGGGCCTGCAGCTTGCCAAGCTTTTATGTCAGCAAAGGCATCACTTTTGTTTCGCTGCTTCATGATTCCCCTATGCAGGACTCTGAAGATCCCATGTCCTTCATTGCACAAGCCAAACTCCAGTTCGACCTTATGATCCCCTCAGGTGGGAAAGAAGCAGACAAATGTCACTTCAGATTCAGTAAACACTCTGAAGGAATCAAATTGCTAATGGTGTTACACTTTGAAGCTCTACCATCCTGCCACCCAAAGGTTTTGAAGACGAGCTTCCTTTGGAGGATGTCAGTGGGAACAAGGTGAACTTGCTTTTGAGTCAATGGTGGAATGATCGCATGTAGCATCATGCAGTTGCCCTCATTGGAAGAAAATATGTCAGACTTGCTTTCTTCCCCACTTGTGGCACACAAACCTGACAGCTAAAAAGATATACTCACAAATGGAGAGATTGACCATATAAACAACGCAGAGCAGTTGTCCCTCAATCTTGAACATTTCGGAATTGTTTCTTTCAGCATGTACTTCAAGGACCTTTCTCCCACCAGGTGAGAGGGGCTTCCTTAAAGAACCCGCTCTACCGTAGTAGCTGTCGTTCTTACTAGTGCTGTAGCAGCTCACCTTGCTATATTATTTATTTATTTAGTTACCCTACCCCTGCCCCCAAGAATGTTTCGTTTTCAATACCCTCCATTGTGTTCACAGGTTGCTGGTGCAGGCCTCAAGGCGCTGGCTCAGAGCGGTTCAACGTAGAATTGACACGCTCAATGCCTTTGTTGCAGGTTCGTGTGCGCGTCCAAGGAGCTCGCAACGCAGGCCAGGAGGCATGATACCGTTCGAGGTCAGGCGTGCTCAGTACAGCCTGATGCACGACGGCAGAAGTCTAAATTGGCAGTAGGTTGCACGATGTTGCACCATGTCACTACCACCACATCATCATTCCCAACGCGTCAAGCAATTCTATGCAACATTTTGCAACTTTCTCTGTTTGGCTATTTGGCATGTATGCTTTTACAGACCGTGGGAGCTGGTCTATGGTGTGTATTTTCCTACGTCTCACCTGACTTGCCCAATCAGCAGTCAGCTCTCTTCAGTGTGAGTGAGACAGAGGCGTGCATAGACGCACTTTAGCTCCTGTAAGGGAGGTCCCTTTGACAAGCCAAGGAGCCTGGGCCAACGCCACACGACTAGACTGGACCTCTGGCTCACCAAGAGTATGGCGTGCAAAGCCCGCTACATTCAAATTCGCAACATTAGTTCTGCAAGATACGCGTTGCGGCCGTTGCCTAAAATAGAGCCGACATGTATGTCATATGTCAGTGCGTATGTGAACTGTTGGGCAGAGCGAGGGTACTGCTGAAAAGAATCAACCTCTCTCCCTTTTTGCTGTCACCCTTTGCAAGTGTCCAAGACTTTGCACACCTGGACGTCGTTTCGTCAACGTTTCGTCTGGCTAGCGGCATTTCTCCATGGATATTTTTTCGCGATTTATTTATATTTTTCGGATTCTGCTTTTGCTGCTTCTGCTGCTTTTTTGCTTTTGTTGCTTTGCTGCTTCTGCTGCTTTTTTGCATTTGTTGCTTTTCTGCTTTTGCTGCTTTTCTGCTTCTGCTGCTTTTTTTGCTTTTGTTGCGTTTCGGCTTTTTGTGTTTTTGTCTTTCTGCTCTTTGCTTTTGTTGCTTTTCTGCTTTGGCAGCTGCTATCCTTTCTATTTTTGTTTTTGCTTTTCCATTTGTTTGCTTTCTAACCTTTGGATCTGGTGTGCTGCTGGAGGGGGGCGCTGCGCCCCCCCCAACCCCCCCCGCGCCACGAAATCTGCACTTCATCTCCGACACCCGCGCCTGCCACGAAATCAATATTTTAAGGTGAACTCCGGGCCTGTGCTAGTTTTCTTTCTCTTTACTAGCTGCACCAAACTGTTGTGATAGGTAGGAATTTCTTTGACACCTACACTATTCCAATGTATTGCCAGCTACGACAGCTCCCAAATTAGTCTAATCAGCTAGCAATCATTATGAAACCTGCACTATTCCAATGTATTTGGCCAGCTACGACACCTGTGTCTCTACTAAGGACACGAAATTGCTGTAATTAGCTAGGTACTATATAATTCCCCAAACAGTGTGGGCACACTGAGGGTTTCTTAGGGCAATAGAAAAACAGCTGATGCTTAGATAGCTGAAGCGCGCGGCCGTGACCGGCTAATTCGCTGCTATTTACAATACATTCATGCCTCTCGACATCGTCCATGTGCATTTCGACTGCGCAGGCTCGCTGAATCTGGGTGTCCGCGGCGGGTGCTTCTAATGACTGCGCTCTCGTTGTGGTGCCGTGCGCATTTTCGTACATGGTGGTGACTTTTCGTGGCAGGCGCAAGGGAAACCTCGTGTTTTGGTGCTCCAAAGTCGACGAGAGGGCGATCCATGGACGACCCCGTGTCCAACATGAGGACTATCAACCAGGACAGTACGTCTACATCTACAGGGCCTCCAAAGCACCTGGTGGTGTGGCTCGGAGGCGACAAAACATCGGGGAATGGATTGGTCCTGGAATCATCATTGGCAAGGAGGGCAAAAGCAATTGTCTTCTTTGCGCCTGTCGCCTGTGAACACCTTCGTCTTGCAGAATCAGAAGAACTTGGGGCGCTCCTGCAAGCCAAAATGGTGAAGGAAGATTTGGTACGCTTGATCGTTGGAATGGAAGAAGAAGACGACACCGTATTTGCGGATGCAACAGGTGAGCCCAGGGAAGATGGGGGTGAGACCGGAAACCACGGATCAAAACGAGATCCGCCGGATGACATGGTTCCACTACGGAGGATGAAACAAAAGGGGTGGACGCCTATGGTTCCTCAACACACCATCCGTGGATTTGGACCACCACCTGATGGAGACCAAGACCTACCAATGGTTCCTGAGGATGACGAGCTCCTGTGCTACATGGCGTCCGACAAAAGGTCGACAAAGAGCTGAAGTGGAGCCAGGTCCCGGAAAACGAGATTCCACTCTACAAGCAAGCGGAAGGAAAACAATGGGGGGAGCACCTCACGTACGAGGCAATCAGAATTGTCGACCCTCAGGAAGCTCAAGACATCCGGAGGCGACTTCCCAAAGAAAGAATCTTCAAAGCAAGGTTTGCCTATACAGACAAGAACTGCTCCAAAAGAAGGGAGGACCCTACATGCCCTCCTAATCCCTGATAGAGATTGTAAAAGGAGTATTTGGATTGTCAACATCACCTCGTTTATGGTGGGACAAGCTGGCGCACTCCCTCCTCGACATCAAGGTCCGTGTAGGAGATCAGGATCTGCGATTGGTCCAACACGACTATGGACAGTTGTCTTTTTCCCCTCCTTGACAAGAGGACAACCTACATGGAGCTTTGGCCACGCATGTTGACAACATCCTCACCAGTGCTCCAGTACACATCCGGAAAGCAACGGAGCAAGCTCTCTCAGGCGTCTTCCCAATTGACTCATGGGAGGGGGCAACGGAAGGATTGGAGTACTGTGGAGTAACAGTCAAACAAGAAGGGGATAAGGCCACACTGAGCCAAGAACACTATGTCAACAGCCGCCTGGAGACGGTTGAGATCCCCAATACCCCTCAGGTAGAGGACTTTGCTGACGAGGTCAAGATGGACAACCAGTCGATTGGAGCATTGTCTTGGTTGGCTTCACAAACACGACCCGATCTACAGGCTGGAGTCTCAATGGCACAGAGAAAACAAAAGAACCCCACATATGGTGACATTAAGGAAACAAATCAAGTGGTGAGAATGGCTCAGCAAGCCAAAGGGGAGAAGGTGACCTACCAGAACATGGGCAACATGGAGGACCTCCTCATCATGGTCTACCACACCGTCCAAGGAGGACCAGGAGTATACGGAGGCCAAGGAGGTTGGGATTTACTCGCAGCTGGGCTATGTCCTGCTCATCACCCACATGGATGTAGCGGAAGTGGCATTCCGGGCCACCCTCATGGGATGTTTCAAGAAGGGCAACAAGAAGAAGTTGCCCATCGTGTCGGTCACCGACTGTAAAAGCCTTTTTGACTCGGTGCATCGAGTCGGAGGGCCAAGAGCCCCATCCGAGAAGCGCTTGTTGGTGGATTTGGCAGGCCTACGCCAAATGATCAAAGAGAAGAGGAGATCAATGGATGGGCCGAATGGGAGAAGAAGAAGATTGGAAAGGCCATGAAGTGGCTCCCAACCAACCACCAGATTGCCGACAACTTCACGAAGGTAATTCACAAGTGTGGAGCATGGTGGGATGCCCTAAGAGCTTTGCAGCCGGTGGGAGACGTGTCCAGGTCAACATAGAATGTTGTGAGTGTGAATGTGACACTCGTTGACCTGGACACACCCGCTACATATAGGCGCAAGAGTCCTTTTGCTTTCGAGCTTTTGGACAAGGACCCAGGCTTTCTCGGTTTATAGTACTATACTTGCTGTAGGATGTTGCCTGTCTCAAGTCTCTTTGCAAACAGCTATGGTGAGTTTGTGGTTCTCGATTTTGCTTGGGTCCTCCGGTTGTGCGTTGTGGTTGTGTGCTGTGATTCTGAGTGATTGTGTTTATGGTTGTGTGTTTGCGGTTAGGTGTTGTCGTTGTGTTTGTGGTTGTGTTTGTGGTTGCGTTTGCGATTGTGTTTGTGGTTGCGCTTGTGATCGCGTCTTTGTCGTTGTGACTGTGGTTGTGTTTGTGGTTCTGTGCTTGTCATACGTGTTTGTGATTGTGTTTATGGTTGTGTGTTTGTGGTTGTGTGTTGTGGTTGTGTTTGTGATTGTGTTTGTGGTTCTTTGTTTGTGATTGTGTCTTTGTGGTTGTGCTTGTGGTTGCGTCTTTGTCGTTGTGGCTGTGGTTGTGTGTGTGTGTGTTGTGGTTGTGTGTTTGTGGTTATGTGTTTGTGGTTATGTGTTTGTGATTGTGGTTGTGGTTGTGTGCTGTGGTTGAGGTCCGGCAGGGAACACTGGGCGTGGATGGTCGTGGTTGAGGTCCGGCGGAGGAGGCGGAGGAGGAGGAGGACGAGGAGATGCGGCTGACGTAAAATCTAACAACCCTCACCTGACAGGTGGGGAATTAAAAGTGCACCCTGTCGCCATGGAGTGAAGTTCAGTGCGCCACAGCTTTGCCGACCTCTCTCAATGCATCACAAATCCCTCGTTGCCCTCATTCTCAATGCAGTCTTCTTTTTGTCCCAACCTTTCGTGACGGAGTGTGCTTACAGGCACACAACTCTCTGGTACTGGCACTGTTTACCGTAGTACTGTAGTGCCTGTGATTTTTGTCATAGATTCTTCTTGCTGACGTCGCTAGACTCCTTTCTTAGTTCAACAAAGATACAAATGTGGAATTCATCAATTTGCCGCGTAAGCATTTGTGCAGGGCATTAGATCCTGCGAAAACTTGCGAAAACACCTTGTGCAAGCGCCCGGCTGTGTTGTAACATTCAAACCGCGAACGCAAACCGCCAAGGCAAAATAGGATTTTTGCCTAAGTGCACCGCTAAACAGCATCAATCAATTTCACCACTAAATTAATCCAAATTGTTTGTTTGTGTTGGTGCCTTTAAGGAACCCAAAAGACCGCATAGGCGCTCTTGCGGTGAGGCGGTCGCTTGTGACACCGATTTTCGCGTCGCTTGTGACGCCGATTTTGTCGCAGCGCGCGTACTGCCGGGGTATATTTTGCAGGGTGTGATGATGCGGCCATGGGCCAATCATTTCACTAGATCCCCACCCAACCCCACCCCACAGTGTCGTCGCACGTTGCTCGCGGAAATGTTATTTTTTTGGTGTGTACAGTCACCAACAGGAGAGACAGAAAGGTGCCGCGCTCGTAGCGGGGTTTGGCCATTCATGAGCCCTGCGGAGGCGATTGGTACACTTGCAAGGAGGTGCCTCCAGTCCAGGTCATACCGCATTGCTTGTGACTACTTCGCGCGTGTCATGTCTTTCA